GGGGGGATGGGCTGGGGGCACAGGAGGAGGTGCCCTGGGGGTGCAGAGCTGGGGGGCAGGGGGTGTTTGTCCCCAGGGGGTGCTCAGCAGGGGGGCACTCTGGGGCACCCTGCCCTACAAAGGCTTTTCTGGGGTGCGTTTAGCCGTGCCGCCCGCGCGGTGCCGCCGTCCCCTGCGTGTCCCGTGGGGCGGGCGGGCTGCTCTGGGGGTCCCGGCCCCCCTTTCTCATGCAAAGCAGCCGCTGGAACCCGCCCCCCCCCCGCACCACCTGGGTGGCCCCTTCTCCCATGGCCACCATGCGAGGAGGGGGGCGCAGGGACGGCGGCTCCGGAATGTCCCGCGTGGAACAGGGATGCTGGGGGGTGCCGCTGCCCCCCGGGGGCGTATGGGGACATATGGGGGGTATATGGGGCTATATGGTGGTATATGGTGCTGCTGGGGGGACCCCTCCTGCGCAGGACCCCCCAGCATCGTGGTGCAGGGGCCCCCCACGGGCTGGGGGGCTTTGGCCACGGCCCCCAAGCGGGGGGTGAAGCTGTAGGTGCCCCCCCCTTCGTCCAAAATTCGGGAAATGCAGGAAATTCAGCAAAATGGCTGAGCCCCCCCCCGGCCAGGCTGAGCAGCATGGCACAGCGTGGCAATGTATAGAGTAGTATGGCAATGCATGGGGTGGCACGACGATGTATAGGGTGGCACGACAATGTATAGGGTGGTATGGCAATGCATAGGGCGGCTCATGGTGTACAGGGTGGCATGGCAATGTATAGAGTGGCACATAATGTATAGGGTGGCACAGCAATGCATAGGGTGGCATGGCAACGTATAGGGTAGCACAGCAATTCACAGGGTCGCATAGCAGCATATAGGGTGGCATGGCAATGCACACAGTGGCATGGTAGTGTATAGGGTGGCACAGCAATGCATAGGATGGCACGGCAGTGTATAGGGTGGCACAGCAATGTATAGGGTGGCATGACGTTGCACAGGGTGGCCCAGCAGTGTATAGGGTGGCACGGCGATGTATAGGGTGGCATGGCAGTATATAGGGTAGCACAGCAATGCACAGGGTGGCCCAGCAGTGTATAGGGTGGCACTGCAATGCACAGGGTGGTATGGTAGTGTATAGGGTGGCACAGTAGCGTATGGGGGGCCTGGCAGTCCATGAGGCGCCGGCATCTCCGTCCCCTCCTGCCCGGCCGCCCCTCACGGGTGGGACGTGCAGGGACCAGCGGCCCCGCAGCCCCCACCCCCCGCTGCTCCCCGCGCCCCATCTCTGCTCCCCCCACTGCAGCTCTCCCCCACACCCCCCGTGTGGGACCCCCGCATCACCCAGCCCCCTCCATGGCTTTTCAACCACCCCCAGACCCCGTTGCTGTCCCCCCATCCCCAAGGCTCCCTATTATCGTTTCCCTATCCCTGTTATCAAGGTTTCCTATCATCGTCTCCCCCCTCCCCAGTGCCCGCCATGGCCGGACCCCTCCCCGCGCCCCCCTTCCCGCCCCGCAACCCGGAAGGGCGTCGCGTCGCCCCAGCAACCGCGGCGGCCTCCCGGCATGCGCCGGGGCGGCGGTTACCGTGGCGGCCGTTGCCGTGGCGGCCGTTGCCGTGGCGGCCGTTGCCGTGGCGGCCGTTGCCATGGCGGCGGGCGCGGCATCATGGCGGCGGCCGGCGAGGAGAGCCTGCGCGCGCTCTACCGTTGGGTCGACGCCATCCCGCTGTCCCGGCCCAAACGGAACATGGCCCGCGACTTCAGCGACGCAGGTGGGACCGCCCGGCCCCACCGGGCCCGGCCCGGCCCCGCGGCGCCCCCGCTGTGGCCGCGGCCGCCGCTAACGGCGCCGCCGCCGCAGTGCTGGCCGCCGAGGTGGTGAAGTTCCACTTGCCGGCGCTCGTGGAGCTGCACAGCTACGTGCCCGCCAGCTCCACGCAGCAGAAACTCGCCAACTGGGGGCACCTCAACAGGTAGCCGCGCGGGAGCGCCCGCAAACGGGGGGGAAACGCCCGCAAATGGGGAGGAAACGCCCGCAAACGGGAGGGAAGTGCCCCCAAACGGGCGGAAACGCTCGCAAACGGGGGGAAAGCGCACACAAATGAGGAGGAAACAAACGGCCGTTTTTCTCCCGCACACGGCAGGAAGGGCCCCCAAACGGGGAGGAAACGCCCTCAAAGGGCTGGAAGCGCCCTCACAAGGATGGGAAGTGCCCGCAAACGGGCGGAAACGCCCGCACACGGGAGGGAAGTGTCCCCCAACTGGGGGAAACTCCCGCAAACGGGGGGAAAGCGCACACAAATCAGGAGGAAACGCCTGCACATGGGGGAAAACGCCTGCAAACGGGATGAAACGCCTGCACACTGTGGGGAAACTCCCGCACACGGGGAGAAAACGCCAGCACAAGCGGGGAAAACGCACGCAATTGGGGAGGAAACGTCCGCAAATGGGGGGAAAACCCCTGCACAGCTGGAGGAAGCGCCTGCAAATGGGAGGAAGAACCCACAAACGGGGATGAAATGCCCGCAAATGGGGGAAAACGCCCGCAAATACGGAGAAAACATTCACAAAAGGGGCGAAAGCGCCCCCCGGGGGGGGAAAGCGCCCGCAAACGAGGGGAAGAACCCGGACACGGGGTAGAAACCCCCACAAATGGCGGGAAAACGCCCGCAAAAGGGGGGAAACGCCCGCAAATGGGGGAAGAACCTGCACACGGGGGAAAGAGCCCACAAACGGGGAGGAAACGCCTGCAAATGGAGGGAAAACACCTGCAGATGGAGGAAAACTCCCTTAAAGTGGCAGCTTTGTGGGGGAAGCTCCCACAAACACTGGGGGAAACACCCACAAATCTGGGGCAACTGCCCGTAAATAGGGTCGAGGAAGGGGGATGGCTGCAAATGGGAGGGACACACACAAACTGGGGGGAAATGCCGCCCAATGCCCCCCAGCCCTTCCAGTGTGCCCCCCGCGCGCGCCCGCAGGAAGGTGCTGAGCAAGCTGGGCGCCCGCGTGCCCGACGACGTGATCCGCAAGATCGTGCAGTGCCGCCCGGGGCTCGTGGAGCAGGTGCTGGTCCTGCTGCGCCAGCGCATCGAGGAGCGGCAGCGGCAGCAGCGGCAGCGCGGCCGGCCCCCGCCGGGACCCCCCGAGGTGAGCGGGGCCGCCCGTGTCCCCGCGGAGCCCCCTTGCTGCGGGAAGCACCGGGAAGCGGCGCCCTGGAACGGGCAGGGGCTCGGGAGCGTTCCGCCTGCTCCCGGTGACGCCGGCTGTTTCTCCGCGCAGGAGCCGGGCGCGCGGGCAGCGCACGGACAGGACGGCCGCTTGGACGCAGGTAGGGCTGGAGCACGACGTGCGGACCGGGGGTCCCGTCGCGGCCGCGCTGCAGCCCCCTGGGGTCCCTAAGCGGGGCCGGGGCTGCTCCCTGCGCCGCGGGAGGGGTCTCGGCTGGCGCTGCCCCCGCCGGGTGCCCGGGGGCGGCACCGGGGGCGGCACCGGGGGCAGCACCGTGCCCAGCGCCGGCCTTGCAGGCTGCTCCGCCAAGGGGAAGAGCCGCGAGCGAGCGGGCCCGGCGTCCCCGCCGGCACACAGGTGAGAGCCGCCCGCGCCGGGGCTCCCGGAGCCCTTCCCGGCAGCGTCCCGGGACGGCGGGACCGGCCGGGCTCCGTTTGTCATCGCAGGCTGCGCAAGGGCCAGCACGGCGCCGCGCAGGCGGCCCCGGGGGACACGGCCGCCCACCTGCAGCCGGCCGAGACGGAGCAGGCCCTGCTGCTGGCGCGGGAGACCATCCAGGTGAGGCCACCGCGCTGGCCTCGTCCCGCGCGGGGCCACAGCAGCGTTGGGATGCGGACAGGCTCCCGAGGGCCCCCTTATATCCCCGCCAGTCCCGGGGTACGGTGGTTGAGGTGGGAAGGGAGCTGTGCAGACCGTGGAGTCCCACCGTGTCCTGGGGTCAAGGCAGCCCGCACGGAGGTGCCACCGGCCTCCTGGTCGCTCCTGCGGCTCCCTCGGGCACGTGCCCGTCAGGAGGTGCCCGGGCCCTGGTGCACAGGGCTGGTATGTCTGCAAGTGCTCCCGGGCTGTGCTGGGCACTGCTGGGTGAAACCAGGTGGGAAACTGAGCCCAGCTTGACGTGGACACTCGCTTCACCCTGGGGACCTCCTGGTCCCTTCTGTAGCAGAAGCTGTTTCAGTGATATTTTCAGGGAAAAAGCCCCCACAAACCCACTGTGTTTGGGGAGCAGCTTTGTTGTTTCCTGTCCCAGCCCTGTCCTGTGACCGCAGTTACATCCATCACATGGATTGGCAGTTCCCAGACATTCCTGTTCTCCATCCACTCCCATTAGTCTTCCAGTCTAGCTTGGAAAGAGCAGTAAGTGGGTGCCACAGCACTGGAAAGAGTCCCCATGAGCCTGAGCTTTGTAAACAGCAGGGATCCCTCCGACTGCAGTGGCCGGGAGAGTTATTAGCACTTCCCAACATGCTGCCCGTCATGGCTCCCATTTCCGGGGAGCATTCCGGGGAGGAATGCCGTGGCAGCGGGAATTGCCCCCCATTGCAGATCCTGCAGGCCAAGGTGCGCAGGCTGGAGCAGCTGCTGCGTCTCAAGAACATCCGCATCGAGGACCTGAGCGCGCGGCTGCGCGCGGCCCAGCGCCCGCCCGGCCCCCACAGCCCCCCGGCGCCATCGTGACCCCGAGAGCGGCCCCGCGTCCCATCCCAGCGCGACGCTGCGCTCGGGTCCCGGCAATTCCCGCTCCCAGCGCGGGAGCCGCGGGAATGGGAACCGCTCTCCGGCTACGCCGCCATCCCGGGGGCTTTTCCCGCCTGGCCTCCTTTCTGCCCCGCTTTTCCCCACGCGGGGCGGGGGTGCTCCAAAGCCGCCCTTTCCCAGCCCTTTCTTATTAAATGTTCGCATTGTTGGCACAAAGGGGCCGGAGGAGGTGGTGACCGCGCCCAGGGTGCAGCGGCACACGGGCCAGCGCGGCCCGCTGCAGCCGGGGGACGGCGCGGAGCCCAGAGGCGCCGGGAACGGGATGATCCCGGGGGATCGGGAAGATCCCGGCCGCGGCAGCGCCGGGGAAGGGCACCGGGAGCGATACCCCGTGCCGTCCCGGCGCTCTTTCCCGCCGTGCCGGGCAGGTTAGGGCGGCGCTGCGGACACCCCGTCCGGAGCCCTGCAGCGCTCCCGGTACCGGCCCCGCCGCCATTGCGGGTCCCGGTACCGGCTGCGTGACCGGCTCACCCACGTGACCCCGCGCCCGCTCCCCATTGGCTGCCACTCGCATCGACCACGCCCCTAGAGGTGCCCCCGCCTCCCTGCAGACCACGCCCCACGAGGGTCGGCCCCGCCCACGGCGCGGGCCCGGCGGCGCCCGCAGGAACCGGAGCCAATAGGAGCGGCGACAGGGGCGTGTTCCCACCCCCATGGGGCAGCGGCAGCCAATGGGCGGCGGGGAGAGCGCTTTTGAGCCAATGCGCGGGAGGGGGCGGGGCCGGCAGCGGGCACCTGAGCCGCAGGGAGCGCGGCGGTGCCGGGGAGCGTTGGGCCGGTGAGTTGGGGGG